TGAATAATGCAATCAGGGTTTTCGAACTCATTTTACGTTGTGCGACTTGTCAATCCTTCCAGGATTTCGATTCTTGTGCCCTAAAATGTCTGATTGCCCAGCAACTTTTCTGATCAATGTTGCATTGTTTATAGACATGTTTTTGCAATGAAATGTTTTGTATAATGCAAAATCGCAGGCAACCTGTTCCAGTGAGAAGAAAATAGCAGTGACATATACTTTGCATGGGGGACTGCTGTGATTAGTGAAACTTGTGGGGAAACGATGATTAACGATTACATTTGCATAAAAGTTAAGGTGATTGGACAAAATTGCAAGGTTGCACAGAATCCACAGGGATTCGTTGAATTTGCATTTATTGATACAACTATCTGGAACTACTTGTTTTCTCAATCTGCGGCTTTAGAGGCATGAATACTGCTCGCCTTCGAAGAGTGTAGAGGAAACTACACTCTTACTGCTGCAAAAATCAATGTGTTTTCTAAGTTGCATTGCTTTGAGCTCTCAGGGCCACCGTACAAAGATGTTAAAAATAGCAATTTAGTAATTGTCCTTTTCAAATCAGCATCCGTGGTCGCATCTCTCTGCCCTTCACCCAACAAGCCACAACTCTGTCTCCAAGTTACACCACTCCCAGGGGGGAGATTGCGTTTCTCCGTCTCAACTCAACTCAGAGAGCCTCCCCCTTTATCTCCCGTCCTCCTTCCTCCCTCTGCAGCGTCTTCTCTCCTCCGTCTGCCCCCCCCCCCCCCCCAGCCCCCCACCCCACCCAGAGAGAACAGGAAGAAAGATTTAAATTAAAAGGAGATTTGATGCTTATCATATTATTCAATCAGTCGGTGAAAAAGTCAATTTGCATTATGTGTAAGTGTGTATATGCGTGTCTCTCTCTCTCTCTCTCTCCCATCCCTTTCCGTCTTTCCCCCATCACCATGGTAACCCCCTGACTCCAGCAGCACACAGCAATATTTCTCTCCCCCATCCCCCACGCTGCCCCTCCTTCTTTGCTCCCATCCCCCACTCCGTCCCTCCACACCTCTCTCTCGCTTTCTATCCGGTGCCACTCCCTACACATCTCCTCGATTCACCTCTCCATCTCTTTCTCTCTCTTTCTGTCTCTTTCTCTTTCTGTCTCTTTCTCTCTCTCTCTCACACACACACACACACACACACACATACATGCACGCACACACTTTCTCTTGCTATTGTCTCCCTTCACACCTGCCTCTCCTCCTCGGTTTGACTCGACTGGACTGCAGCGTGTCAGAGCAGCCGTCTGTTTTTTGGGGAACATTTTGGTTTTCTTTCCCCTTTTGTGCAGCTTCTTAAAGCACATTAACACATTAATATCCTACAAGGAGACAGACAGTAGAAGTTATGGCATCAGGGACTGCAGGTATGAGGAGATAAATAAAGGCAGAAATAGAAACAGAAGGAGGGGAAATCATAGAGCGTATAGCAATTAAAACTCCCAGATTTCCAGTGCTCTTTAATTATTCTAATGTCTGAATTCATTAGTATGGTGGCCCCCCGGACAGCTGATCCACCAATAAGTTACGTCTTTCCACTAAATTAATCCTTTGCATGTTTTCTAATTTTTAAATAATGTAGGCACAAAATCACAAAATGAACAATGCATGACAGAAAATGGTCCAAAAGTTCACCAAATACATCAATTTGTTATCATAGAAGACCAAGGAAACTGGAAATATACAAATTTGAGAAACTGAAACAAAGAATTTTGTCTTAACAATCAACTATCAGGATAGATGCAGATTAATTCTCTGTCGATTGACTAATCAGTTAATTGACTAATTGTTGCAGCTGTAGGCAGATTTTTTATCTACATTTTTAGGAGCTGGATAAAAGACCAATAATTTAGTCACATGATCAGCACACACTTTAACTGTACAAGTAGGGCTGCAGAAGTAAGGACAATTTTTATTATTATAAAATGCCCATTATATTCAAATAGATTTTTCTCATCCAACCAAGCTAACCCCAAAGATATTCAGTTTACTATTACTTAAGTCAAACAAAATCCTTTCTCACTTCTGAGAATCCAGAGAATGTTTAATATTTTTGCTTGAAAAAAGTTAATGAGAATAGTTATATGGTAATATAAATGTTACTTCGATCAACTAATCGATTCTGCTCTACTGGAAGTATTAGCTCTCGTGCTTTTTATTCTAAACTCACAGTTAAGACAAATATTGATCAAACTCTTCGCAGATGAGACACAATTGGAGTATTTTAGCTTCTGATCAAACCAATTTGCAGAATGAAACACTTCCATTGATCGCAGAGTCCACGTCTGTGAAAGCACTGTGGTGCTGTGACTCAGGTTTGTGTCATATATCAGTCATCTGCTGGTCACTGTGCTCTACGTAATGTTCAGTTATATTGTGCACTATGTGATTATTTGTCATTTGAGAGACTGATGATATTGTTGGTCAGATATTTGGCTGATAAAGTGTCCTCTGTGCTTGTGGTTGCTTCATGAATGGACTCTTGTCATGGTTCAACCACACTGGCCAGAAAAACAGACAGAAGTTACATATTTTCAGGAGGAAGTGTGTGTGTGTGTGTGTGTGTGTGTGTGTGTGTTCACTGTACATGTTAATGTATTGAAGTTAGATTAGCTGTTTCTGAGGAGATTAAAACCCCAAACACAGAGGGGCTGTTAAGACCCTCCTACGGTCTCTAATCCGAGCTAATGGATGCACCCCCAACCCACCACACACACACCACACACACACAACACACACACACACACACACACACACACACACACACACACACACACACACACACCCACAGGAAGAAAAGTGTTGCGACATGAGGAAGAAGAGCCGAGAGGAAAACGAGAAGAAGAAGAAAAAAGGGAAAATAGAGTAAGGGGCATTCCTCTCATTTCTCTACACAAAGGCCTCATTCTGTTGAGGAGAAATGGAAAAACAAGGAGGAAAGAAAGAGAAAGAAAGGCCAAAAAGAGAGGAAGGGTGGATCAGAGGGGAGGGAGTGGGGGCGTGAGAGAGATGGATGAAGATAGATGAGAAAAGGCACATTGTGAAACCTAAGAGATAGCGCTAGAGAGGAACTGAAAAAGAGCAAAAGTCAGACTAATCTCATTTTCTGGGCCCAGACGGATCCCTCTGACCCGCCGTCCCACAGCTCAAACCTTTTAGTCTGGCTCCAAACTGCCTCCTCAACCTTTCTCCTGGGACTTTTATTGACTTTATAGACCTGCCAGGACAAGAGAAATTCATGTTGTCCTTTCACTCAGCACACTATCGTACAATCTAGATGCTACCGGGAGGTCAGGCGGTCTGTCCGGCTGCTGCAGGTACGCTGGGATACTCACACAGTCAAGTTAAATACCAGTACAGATACAGGGACACAAATGGAAGCTGAGAAGGTGTCTTAACTGATATACACCTGAGCTGTTTTAAACATTTTCTATGAGACAAATATATGGTTTGATGATATGATTCTAAAAACACCAGGACCGGTGTACCATTTTAGCTTCCTAGCTTCACCCTCCCAAGTGTGAAGTGTGGAGAAACTACAGTTGCTGTGAAACACCTGAAAACCACAAATTGCTCATTCTAAGGTAACAAAAACTATATATCTTCTTATATTCAGGAGCCTATAAAAATTATATTCCATTTCTGCCAATAGATCCTCCTAAATGTTTCACACTGGACCTTTAAATATCTTTAAAACTTGAAATACAAATAAATGTGTATTGGGGTTTGTTCAATATGAAATCTCAAAAAGCTTACTAATAATCCTGGAACAAAGGCACTGATAGATAATGTTATTATTTTTATGATATATTATAAATGTAAGTGTACTGGTGTTTGGAGAGTCGGTCAGTGACAATTGTGTTCATTTATATTGAGCTCACATAGCCGACCTGCATACAAGTGGGATGCTGAATGCGTGCATTAAAATGTATTAAAGTGCACTCATACATGATGAGGCATGAACGAGGAGCAGGCAGCACTGGCTGTTAAACATTCGTGTACAATCATAGAGAAACTGATGCCAGAACGGTTCAATAAATGTCTCAACTGGAAGGAACAGATTCTGCCCACCACTACGCTGCATGTAGTCGAATCTATCACGTTACAAATGAATGCCGAACTTGGCAACCTTGACTAGACACGATGAAGTCAAGTATTTCTCCACAAAAGGTTTTGACTGACATCTCGACTATGTGGGACAGACAGCTGTACCTACATGGTGTTAGTGTATACAGTAAGAGTTCAGGCTAAAGTTAGCAGCTATCTGGGCCTTTAGTTGGTGTATTTGGTGGCGTACAGTCCAGCAACCCCAGCCAGACAGACAGTGTTAGCCAAACTCATCGGATAGTCCTCATCCTCAACGTGATACAAGACAGAAGAGAAACTCTAGCTTCTGTGTTAGCATCCTGCCTGGGTTACATTAGAACAATGGTCTGGTCTTACATTTTACCACAGCCCTACTTAATAAAGGGCTGTGTGTACTTTGTACAATGGATTTCTTTTGGGCCTATTTCAGTGTCGTTAATGAGTTGACATTAGCTTAATTAGCCAGGTTTGTCTACCTCTGAGCAATCTCAAGGTTCTGTTGTTTGAAAAAATACATTGTAAATCTGCCTCAGTTATTGTTAACTGTGTCCTCTAGTCTGGAGGTTGTGAAATATAAAAGAATACGAACACAAAATACCACCAGATGGTTTCAGTCTACTCGAATACTGCCAAGCATGAGAGGAGGGGGAGGGGGGTAAGACAAAAAAAATTGGACCAAAAAAATCCTCCTACACCAGTCGATCTTAACTTTCCCTCCTCCTCCTCCTCCTCATCGTCCTCTACCGCTCTCATCCTATTCCCAGTCCAGACTCTCTTTTTATCTCTCTCTCTTCGTGCCCATGCTCCTTTTGGATTCCCTCTCTTCTGGGCTAAATCTTCCCCCATCCCCTTTGATAAACCCCTCGACTTTCGTCTTTCACTCACAAATATCTCCTCCAGTCTCTCCCCTGCTTATCAGCTTTCCTTCTACTCTTCTTCTTCTTCTTCAGTCTCTCTCCTTTGGAAGCCCATTTCTGCGTGTGATAAAAAAAAGATCCTGTAAGTCAAAATAATGAGAAACTTTACTACTAAGTCAAAATGTTGAGAAAGTTTCTCATTATAATGACCTACAGAATCCATTTTTATTCTGTCACATTGGCTGAGATGGGCTTCCATACTGTTCTTAACTTAGGCCAGAAACTCAGAGGAGGAGGAGGAGGAGGAAGAGGAGGAGATCCAGCACCAAAGCAATCACGGTGAGAAAACACCACAATGCAAACGACAGAGGGAGAGACAAAGACGTTTGTGTGTGTGGCTTAAATGATGTTGCTATGAGTGAAAAGAGGAATTCAAGAGTAAACATGCAAGCAGAGACCTGGTGAAAAGTATGAAAGGGACATGCACTCCAGGAGTTAAAGAGACAAAGTAACATGAATCGTTTCTGTAGGTGTTCTTGCTTTTATATGAAAGATTAGATTGACAGAAAATGAACAGAATACTACAGGAATGAGTACTAAAACCCGGAAATGAGTTAGCACTTTCACACCTTCGGTTCCCTCGCCTCGAGGTCAGCGGGTCTTTGGTTAGATGTCTGAAATAATATCTGTGCTTCACACAAGATTAAGAGATTTTAACGTTTTGTTCTACGACATAAAATACGTCCGTAAATCCTCAACCTGTGAATTTGAAGCCTTTACGTGTCTTGAAAAAGGCGGTTGTCAATCGACTTATCTACTCACTAGTCCGCCTTTACAGCCTTTCAAACTATTGTAACTCAAACTTTACAACTTGTAGATTTTAATTACAAGTTTTAATTACAAGTTGGAAGTTTCTGCAACAATCCAGAATCAAACTGAAAAATCCCACTAGCTTTCTGTTGAATGAACCAGGGTCAAGCTAACTTCTGGGTTGGACTAGAAAAATATGTCATACTGATGTTTAAATCATCGTTAAATGTCCAACATATTCTGGTTCCAGCTTCTTAAATGCAATGAGTTTATGTTTTTCTTTGTCATATATGATAGTTCAGTGTTTCTCAAATTGGGTTAACCTCTAGGGTTACTCCAGAGTAGAAATATTCCTATTATAACGACACTATAAAAAGCAAAAAAAAAAAAATGTAAATTTAAGTTTGATAAACCACATTTTATAGTCAATATTCAATGATGTGAAATGTGTGCTGTTAAGTCTCACAGAAGAATAAAGGCAATGACGTTTGTTTTACTGTCAGTATCAGGAAGAATATGTTTGAATGCAATTTATTTGGATTGCAATTTATTTATGAGCTGCAAAACTCCGGAGACACTGTGCTTCAATTTATAAGGTCATTAATACAGCACAGTGCTGTATTATACCTCTTTATGTGGACATTTATGTTCTACCAAAAAGGTATTGTGCTGGTCAGGGGGAACATTGTTGAAAAAGTTTGAGAACCACTCTGATATATATCAGAATATCAGAAAACAAGACATTTGAAGACGTCACCTTGGGATGGAGGAAGTTAAAAAGGGCGTTTTTCAATATTTTAGACTAAAAGGATCAATCGACTAGTTAGGAAAACAACTGGCAGATCAATCACTGATGAAAACAATCATGAGTTGCAGCCTTGCAGTAAATCATAAGAGCTGACAGGTGAGGAAGTCCGAGTCGCTGCCCTGTGGCACTCCCTAACATAAGAAAGCACCACTCACTGGGGATAGTGGAGATCAGCATGACTGAGCAGGAGAAACCAGGATGCACATGGTACAGTTTATATCCAGGATTTTATTTGCAGAAGAGATCATACCTGACAGAAGTCTGCCCCCAGTGTTCTAGCATGAAAGGAAGCAAGCTACCAACCAGTTGTGAATAATTGAACACCAATAATGTTGTATAGTGCAGCATTTCATTTAATATTCACAAAATCAGCTGCAGATGACATATCGGATATTAAAAAGCTGAATCAAGTCAGTCGGACACTCCCTAAAGGCTGATTTACCCACGCAGAGCCGGCCTGTCTACACATGCAGAATCCTCAATGGTCATTTCATGTTTCATGTATTTTTAAGTCAAAAGGTGCAGACAGTGAAAGCAGACAGAGGGGGAAGTGTGCACATACACCCACACCCACACACACACACACACACACACATATATATATATATATATATATATATATATACTGACAAACACACACACAAATCTGCGTGCACGCCCAGCACAGTTGTTCATACCTGCCATCGTATTATGTAAGACATCATCGCACCCTCTGGCCCACTGACACACACACACACACACACACACACACACACACACACACACACACACACACACACACACAGATATAGACCCACACACACACACACACACACACACACACACATTCATGCATGGAAACCCAGACACAAGCAGCATGGTGAGATGCTATTGTTTTCTTACCTCTGCAGGTGTCACGTCTCTCTCTCTGTCTCCGCTTTTCCTTTATCCCTTTTCTTCTCTCTCGCTCTCTTCTTCTTCTGTGTCTTTATTTTGTCTTTCCTGTCCACTCAGTCTGGCTTTTTCTCGTGTCTTTTTTTGCTCTGATGCTGCAGTGGTACATAAAACACACCCTTCTGAGCTCTACCTCTCCTCCCTCCCTCCTTCCCTCCCTGCCGCCGTCTGATTGGCTGCTTCACAGAGATGACATCAGCTTCTTTTATGGCAGCCTCTCTCTCCCTCTCTCTCTCTCTCTCTCTCTCTCTCTCTCTCTCTCTCTGTATTCCCCTGGTACCTCCTGCCCCTCCCTTCTTCTTTACCTCCATTCTAAATTCTACCCCCCCCCCACCTCTATTTATACCTCTCTCCATCCCTCTCTGTCTCCTCTCTGTTCTGGTTTTCTTGTCTTACTGGTGGCCAGCTGGTTGGAAGAACATCAGTGAATGAAAAATAAATTTAACTGGCTGGTAAAAACTGTACAGGTCTCGTTCAGTAAGTAATTAAAACACAAATGTAGGACTGTGTAATCTAAAATCCGTCAGTTGTTGTTTTTTAACTAATAATTCTCCTCTGTAAACAGAAGAAATCAGTTTCACATCTGTGATGTTCTGTGATCGGTATATAAACAAACTTCTTCATTTTATTAAAAGCTGAACTGTGAGACTGTTGACTCATAACCAGAGGAAACTTATTAGAAAGGCTACTGGTTTCTGTGCGTCGAATCCAGAAATGACACAAGACGGATACCCGTAATGTCATATTGTGGAGCGGAGGACCACGGACAACAGACAGTATGTAACGAGAAGTGACAACATGTTGGATACAATACAAACAGCAAGAAAAAAAAAATTAAAGCTGCATTCAAGTTTTTTGTTTTTTATTAAGAGAACTCTACAGCAAGCGTAGTGTCCAATATTAAGTCCAATATT